GAATGTTGGGATCAAGTGAAAGATTTTTAAGGATGAGGGAGACCTGGGCATGTTTCATCAGAAGAAGCCTGTAAATAAGGAGGAATAGAAAATTAGAGATGATAATGGGTATGATCTTCTGTAAGAAACTGGAGGGGATGGGATCAAGGGTACAGATAGAGGAGTTGATTTTGGCCAGGACTAAACATGTATGAGAGACTGGAGTAAAGGATGAGAGAGTGGGAGATGCTGTCAAGGAGTTTTGAAATGTAGAGTAAGGGAACTACTTGACATAACTATAGTTAGTGGAAGAATTCATATGATAAGCAAAAGATAGAGGTTATTACAAAAGGCAATTTCAATTAGCATATAAAAACTACAAAATCAGTGCAGCTAGAATAAGAAGAAAAGCAATGGTTTGGACAAGTCTTTTCAAGTGTCTCTGATAAGGGTGACATCCAAAATGTATAGGGAATTTACACAAATATATAAATTACTTCTACCAGTATACCTTTTCTACAGTTTATAGTCTTAGGGCATGGCAAAATCCATAGTGTTGGAGAGGCTAAAGAAAAACAAACTAGGGGCAGTTAGGTGGCACAGTGGATAGAGCTCTGGCCTTGGAGTCAGGAGGACCTGAGTTCTAATCTGGCCTCAGACACTTGACACTTACTAGCTGTGTAACCCTGGGCAAGTCACTTAACCCCAACTGCCTTGCCAAAAAAAAAGAAAAGAAAGGAAAAGAAAAAAAGAAAAACAAACTATAAATTGATCTAACTGTTCTGGAAAACAATATGGAATTATGTGAGAAAAGTTACTAAACTGTTCATGCGCTTTGATCCCATCATCTCATAGCTGAGCACACATACCCTGATGAAGTTGGTGACAGAAAGTTCTCTTATATGCTGAAATGTGCATAAAAACATTTTTGTAGTAGTAGCGAAAATATGAGGAAAAGTCTATGTGTATTGACTGGCAGGTGCCTAAATAAATAGTAGTGTATGGATATGATGGGATATTATTGTGGGGTAAGGAATTAAGAGAATGGGGAAGACTTGGAAGAACTGGTACAGAGTGAAGAAAGCAAAGTCAGGAAAATAATATGTGATTATGGTAATGCAAATGACTACAACACTAAAAGACAATAGAATTCCTATTACATGCATTGACCAATGTTGTTTATAGATGATTGATGGTGGAATATGCTTCCTTTTCTCTGTAGAGAGGTTGGGGACTACAAGTGGTATGACCTCTCTGCAATAACTTGACATTATTGACCACTGTCGGCTCCTAGACAGTCTCATATCTATGAGTTTTTGTGATAATTGCTCTCTTGGTGCTATTCCTACCTATTCTGTTCAATCTCCTTTGATAGAACAACATTCATGTCACACGTATTAATAGTGGGTGCCTCTCTCTGCCACAGTCTCTGTTCCGAATTGCTTTCTCTGCTGTCTCTATATTCTGTCTTGATGACTTCATCAGCTCCCATAGGTTCAATCGTTTCTATGCAGATGACTCTTAGATCTTACATATCCATCCCCAGTCTCTCTCCTGAACTCTAGTTCGGAATCACCTGTTATATTGTCTATTGTATGTTTCCAACTAGGTATCCCAATCAAATTCAACATGTCTAAAACAATTGATTTCCTTTACCTTTAACCCCACCCATTCTCTGCACTAACCTATTGAGCCCGATTGAGGGCACCACCTTCCAATCATCCAGGTTGACAACCTCTGAATCATCCCTGACTTCTCACTATCATTCACCCCACATATCCAGTCAGTTGCCATATCTTATTATTTCTGGCTCTTTCGCCTCATGTTCATCCCCTTTTCTCCACTCTAATGGTGACCAAAATGATGTGGTTTAGGTCTCACCATGTCACCCCCAACTCAAACTGCAGTGTTTCCCTGTTACCCCTAGGATCAATAGAAACTCTGTTGATGTAAAGCTCTCCTCACCTGTCTCTCTCCTTTCCTTCCAGTCTTCCGACATGCTACTCCATTTCCAGGCACACTTCATTCCAGCCATTCTGGCCCAGCCCCATCTTCCTTCTCCATGCCTTGGCACTGCGTGACCCTCACCTGGAATGCTCTCTCTTCTCACCTTTACTTCTGAGAGTGGTCAGCCTCCTTGAGGGAGTTCAGCTCTGATCAGTGCAAAAACTAACAACTCCCCCAGAGGGCCGGTGATAAAGCATTCTTCCCACCTGTAACAGAGGCGTACATATTTGGACATGACCAATGTGGAAATTTGCTTTGCCTGACAGTGCATATTTGTTAAAATGGTTTATGTCTTTTTTTTTCAACTGGGAAGGATACAAGGAGAGGGGAATAAGGGATAGGTTCCCCCCAAATAAAAATTAAAATGAGAAGAAAACAAAAGGAATACTAAAAGGAATCAAGACAAAGCTTAGAAATGTACATGTGTTGAATCTGTCATATTAATTAAAAAGAAAAATAAGCTCTACATAAAAGAGTCATACTTTCATGGACAATCCTACCCTTCTGTTCCACAATGTACTTGAAATGTTCATTTTATTTGGTGTCTGTTAAGTTCAGAGCAAATAAAATGGGGGAAAAAAGACTCGGTTCAAGTGCCTTTCCCAGTCTGTCTGTCTTGCCCCAACTCTGATCCCCAGCTTCCCATGTTTTCCTGTACAAGGTTAGCAGGTGCCTGCTTTGTCTATGTCGTGTATGTACCTACATATGTACATATCTCCTCCACTGGGATGTAAGATTCTTGAGGATAGGGATTGTTTGACTCTATCTTTGTATCCCCATCACTTAGCATAGTGCCTGGTACGTAGTAGGTGCTTAATAAATGTTTACTGGTTTGTTGTTTGATGGCTTACTGGAGTTAGTAGGATTAAAAAAAAATAGTTTTTAAAAGGAAAGGTTTTGCCATAGCTGACATCATGGTCAGCATTTTTAGAGGGCTTTGTTAGAAACCTTCTATCTATCACATTTAAATAATTAAATTGGTTCTTCACAGTGGATGGCTTTAATAGAGAAAGGCTGGGGGCCCTTGATGGGAGACCATACCTGGAATTGCAAGTTGAACTGGGTCGACCCCATCGATAGAGCTGGGGCCATGATGAAGCCGTTTGCTCCCATGATGGTTTCTTTGACTGTAGCATTCTGGTACTCCAGTTTAAAGGGCACCAAACTCCCCCAAGATGTTTAAGGGGTGTAATCCCTTCTCAATTTTTGTATAGACATGGCTAAAGTTATAGATCCTTGGAGCAAGAAGTGACCTTAGAAGTCTAGTAGTCTGGCCCCCAGTTTTATTTGCAGACAAAGAATCCTATGCCCATGGGGGAAGTGGTTTGCCCAGTATCCTACAACTAGTTAGTGGTAGAGCCAAGGATAGAGTCATGGTCTCTTGACTCTTTCAGTGAAATGTTACTGCCTCTCCCATATATGGAAACATTGACAGTCGCATACATTCAGATATGTAGTTACCAAAATTTTGGAAACTGTCTTCCATATGTAGATGTCAGAAATGTGGAAAGTTTCTTCCACATTAACCTCTTTATGGACCTCTGGAAATCGTTCAGAAGCCTTCCTGTTTTTTATTTCTTACCTTTTACTGTAAGTTCTTAGGACTTTTTACATGCTTTGCTCAGACCTCCAGCAGCCAGTCATAGAATGATGGAGCTGGGAAGGAGGGCCTCAGATCTTGTAGCTCAGATGAGGAAATGAAGGCCTAGAGAAGTTAAAGGACTGGCCCAAGGTCTCTGATACAAATTCACTCGTTAGCTTTTAGTTGTAAGGAGTCCAGGCTTGCTGATCCAGGTCAGGGACCTTGCCTCAAGGTTTCATCTTTAGTTTCTGAACCTGAACTTGAGGTACCAGGTTTCCATTCCCCTCTTGGTGCCTGAGCTTTCTTGGTTCCCTGGGCTCAGAGATGGGTTGTGCCAGATCCTCAATGGCCTTTTCTGCTTCTGCCACTGTGCCTGGATGCCTCATCTGCCCTCCAGCCCCACCTTGCTCCCTAGATCAGTCAAAGGTTCTTAACTTTTCTCTGTAGTGTAGTAGACCCCTTCCTTTGGTGCTGGTGAGGACAGCAGACCCTTTCTCAGAATATGTTAAAATGAAAAAAATGAAATACTTAGGATTACAGAGGAAAAACACAGTTATCAATTTTTTTTAAAAGCCCAAATTTGTGACCCCAGGTTCAGAGCTCCTGCTCCAGACCACAGGGGTTTCTCTACAGTGCCCGGCAAATAGTAGGCATTTAATAAATACTCATTGACTGAAGGATGAGAAGTAGTACAGGGTACAAGTGACATGAGGCACCCCCCACCCCCCCACCCTCCCACCCCTGGGACAGGGGATGACTCACAGGCCCAAAGAGGATGGAAGTAACACAAGCCCTCTCTGCTGGAGGGGAGGAGAACTGCAGGAAGCACTCCAGGAGGCCTAAGGACCACAGCACCCATGAAGGACTCACTGGCCAGGAAGGGGGCAAGCATGGGCCAGAGGAGGAGCCAGGCCTGCTGCCTTCTGCTGGGAAATGTTTTTGTGACAAAGAAAGAGCTAGGGGATGTCTTAGGTAAATAATTTGGCTACTCATTGCCCAGCAGGACATGTTTGTTTATAACGAGTAGTGGAATTGTCCAAAAAATGTAGAGAATAAAGATGCATGTGGTCCTTTTGGTGACCTGATTTAAATGAGCTGGAATTGCCTCTGCTTTGGCGTTTTCCTATAGATGGCAGAGTTTATCAGCTTCTGTTTCTCATAAATGTTTCATCTTCATGTCATATTTTCACAGATTGCTGTGTCAAAAGAGTATATAGCTCACTGCTGTTTTATTGGTCCTGCCTCATATAGTTTTAAAAAGAGAGAGAAATGTAACATTCAAATTGTAATTCAGGCCCTTCGTTTTCAGTGCTTTGGGTATAACGAAAGCTTGGTTTCCTCGTGCCTTTTGAATATGACGTTTTAGTAACTCATTGTCACCTATGGGAGGAGGCTTAAGACCCTGTCTTGTCTTCTATTTTTTTCATTTCAGTGGGATTCTGGAAGAACTGCAAGATAAACATCCATTCTTCAAGTGTATTCTGCATAACCAAAGTTCTGGCTAACAGGTAAAAATATGTGTTCAGAGTGCCTTTGAGTGGGGTGGATAAAGTATCTGTAACCGAAAGGAGCAGAATACATTCATCTGTATTCCAGCAATCAGTCTAAAAATTTTAGAATGAGACTAGATTTTTCTTTAAGGAAAACTCTTCTCTTAAAATATAGACCTAGTTTAACTAGTCATTTCAAATGGGCCATCCCATTCACTGGACTTGATATTCACCGAGAAACTAGTTTAAATGTAATCATCTGCATGCAACTTCTGTTATTCTATAAAATAGCCATAGAATCTGTTGCTGAATTTTCTCATTGCAGTCTTTTAAACAAAACCAGGTTTCTAAATTCTGCCATATGAGGCAGGCTAGCCAGGGGGTAGAGAGAGGGTGAGTCTCTCCTTGGTTTCTTTCTGTCTTTAAATTTCAACTCTTGATTGTTGCTAATGATTTCCAGCTGTACCATTTCCTTAACTCCCCTTAACACTTTGCTACCTGGTCCCACATTTCATCTGCTCCTGAAAGAACATCTATTTTTTTTGTTTTTAATTGACCCTTACTATGGAGTGAGGTCCTGTTAAGAAACCTGTTGTCCTCTTTTAAGAACCCAGCTCCTTTGTATCTGTATTAGATAGAAGCAACCATTGCAATTAGACCCTTGTTTTAAATGTTAAACAGATGGTGTTAAGTTTGCAATATTTAACGAACAATAAAGATCTTTGTTTCACAGGTTGGCACAGCCAAAGAATTTATCATCTAGTAGTTACCTTATGGCTAATGATGAATATTCAAAAGATTTCAGTAGAACCTAGCAGATTCTAGATGCCTTTGGGATCCACAATTTGAATAGAATCCTGAAATGGGGATTCACTTACTCTTCTCTTTTCTGAGATTAGTGTGGTTTCATACCATCCCTAATATTGTTTTCTGGAATCTGGGCAGACCAGGGCCAAAAAGTTGGAAGTCACTTCAGGTCCAGCCTGATTCAGGAGTTTGGAATTACTCCACGGTAATTTCAAGAGTAGGCAAGACCTAGAACCATCCAAACCACATAGGGCCATTTTGATTCAGATGTAAACCCATGTGGTTGGACTGAATTGGATTGGCCAGTGGGGATAAAGGGCAAAATTCCATTTATACCATGATTCATTTTAATGTGTGTTCCTTGAGTTTAGATTAACTGGTCCTAAATAAGGATGAGGGTAGTTCTTCTGTACTTCTCGGTAACATGAATTTGTTCAAGTTTTTAAACACTTATAGATTTTGCTGTTGAGATCTCCTTCTTTGTGTGCAGGGTAAGCCAGTCCAGGCACCATGAGTTGGAGCTTCCTGACTCGACTATTAGAGGAGATCCACAACCATTCCACGTTTGTGGGGAAGATTTGGCTCACCATATTGATAGTCTTCCGGATCGTACTCACTGCTGTGGGTGGGGAATCCATCTATTACGATGAGCAAAGCAAATTTGTATGCAATACAGAACAGCCGGGCTGTGAGAACGTCTGCTACGATGCTTTTGCCCCTCTGTCCCACGTCCGCTTTTGGGTGTTCCAGATCATCCTTGTGGCCACCCCATCGGTGATGTATCTGGGCTATGCCATTCACAAGATTGCCAAGATGGAGCACGGAGAGGCAGACAAGAAGGCAGCGAGGAGCAAGCCCTATGCCATGCGCTGGAAGCAGCACCGGGGCCTGGAAGAGACGGAGGAGGACCATGAGGAAGACCCCATGATGTACCCAGAGATGGAATTAGAAAGTGAAAAAGAGAACAAGGAGCAGAGTCAGCCTAAACCCAAACATGATGGGCGGCGGCGCATTCGAGAAGATGGGCTTATGAAAATTTACGTGCTGCAGTTGCTGGCAAGGACCTTGTTTGAGGTGGGTTTCCTGGTGGGGCAGTATCTTCTGTATGGCTTCCAGGTTCGCCCATTTTATGTGTGCAGCAGAGTCCCCTGCCCTCATAAAATAGACTGCTTCATTTCTAGGCCCACTGAAAAGACCATCTTCCTGCTGATAATGTACGGTGTGACGGGCCTCTGTCTGATCCTCAACATTTGGGAAATGCTTCACTTGGGCTTTGGGACTATACGGGACTCATTAAATAGCAAAAGGAGAGAACTGGAAGATTCAGGTGCTTATAATTATCCTTTCACTTGGAATACTCCGTCTGCTCCACCTGGCTATAACATTGTGGTCAAACCAGATCAAATCCAGTACACCGAACTGGCCAACGCCAAGATTGCCTACAAGCAGAACAAGGCCAACATTGCTCAGGAGCAGCAGTACGGAAGCAATGAGGAGAACCTCCCCGCAGACCTGGAGATGCTGCAGCGAGAAATCAAAGTGGCCCAGGAGCGCCTGGATCTTGCCATCCAGGCCTACAACCACCAGAACAACCGCCACGGCCCCCGGGAAAAGAAGTCCAAAGCTGGCTCTAACAAAAGCAGTGCCAGTAGCAAATCCGGGGATGGGAAGAACTCTGTCTGGATTTAATCTTGGCCAGGCTCATAACTGGTGCTTCTCCTCGTTAGGGTAAGCAGCAAGCGGCTCACTGAATAATGACTTCCATTGAGTAAACATTTGGCTCTGGTTATCTTCAGGGAGGTTTAGTGTTGGCCAGTGATCCAAGCTCAGGGGACTTGGGGCCGGGAGGGGGAGACTGGGGAGTGGGAGAGAAGGGAAACAAAGTGTTCCCGGCACAGGTTCTCAGCAATACCACGGTTGCAGAACTTTTCCCTTGTGTCTTCCAGATCTGGAAAAGAACAGATATATTTAAATCATTCTTGTTGAACAGTTTTTTATGTACAGTATTATGGTACATTTTTAGTATGCTAATTTTCTTTTGTATTTGTACATTTGACCTCTGCAGTTATACTTTTATATTAAAGGAAAAAAACTGCAATAGATAACGCCTAGCATTTGGCTAGTGTTATTATTACTTTGGTCAGCAGACTTTTGCCATGTGTTTAAAGTTATAATAGATGCAATTCTTAATTAAAGTGCCTCATGCTGTAGGGAGGACTTCAGTTACAGAGGGAAACCAAGAAGGAGCCCTGAGATTGCAGATTTGAAAAGAAAACCCTGCAGCAGTGTGGGCCAAGTTCCTTCACTCTTCCCCAACAGAGACAAACTCCTATTGGTCTTATCCAGATACTCAAAACTGCCTCTTGTACAGGTGTGCCCATCTGAAACCAACATAATAGGTGAAAAGCTCGAGTTACAAGAAATGAAGTAAAGTAGTGAGGGCAGGGAGTGCTACACTCTGTGAAAAGATTTGACAGAATTAGTGAGCTTGGATAATGCAGATAGCATGTCGTCCAATTTCTTTTTAAAATCACCCAGCTTTTTTTTTTTAAGCCCAACATCTGTTGCACAAAGGGAGGCATGCCTACATCTGGATAGTATGGCTTCCCCTACCTTGTCAGAAAGCAAGGCACATCTGAAGAATGGGCTGTGGAAGCAGGGAGATGAAATTATTCCTTGCCTGGATAGCCTTAAGTCTCCTTCCTGTAACCTGACTGGCCTCTCAGGAAGCCTGTAATAAACAGTTCCCTTTTTTTATATTAGCAGGAAGTATACAAACAGCCATGCTTGTATGAATAATACTTAGAGCCACTCAGGCTGCAAAAGACCAGAGAGCCTGGAGTCCAAGTTCCATGGATTCTAACTGGCCACGAAATCCTGGCCAGGTCGGGAGAGTGACATGCCAGGTTGGGTTTTTTGGCTAGAAAACCAATCCAGGCTGATATTATGGATATTTTGGCCAATAATTGGCATTTGTAAATGCAAAAGGGAAGAATTTTGTGTTTACAGCCTGTGGTACTGTTTTTTGGTAAGAAGAAGCAGTCCTATTTGTAAGATACTGATAATTTATGTGCGTTTTTAGCCTTTTGTGGGGGGGGGTGATCTTAGCACTGGGTCATGTTAAAATGTTTGGCCTTCTGGTATTTTCACATTGTTTGTCTAAGGGCATATAACTTTTTTTTTTAATCGCCTGGTAGTGAAAGGAAAACAAAGGGACTTTTACTCTAGTGGATCATTTCCACAGAGATGTCTATTTGGACCTCGCCTATAGGCCACAGGTTCTCCAAAGCTCAGTTTCCTTATCTGTAACTTCTAAGATCTGCCAGCTGCCTGTCATTTGGTGAAATCTGAGAAGCAAGCCCTCCCTTTTTTTAACTGGGTTTTTTTTTCTCTCCATTGCAGTCCAAAACATATCATAACATGTGAATTACCTTCTGGCCATTCATGTTCACTTTTATGGTGCATTTTTTTTCTGCTTAGCAAAAAAGAGTGTCCTCTGGGTCCCCCAGGCATCTTAAACCAAAAATAAAACCAAGTAAGACAAAAGGAGAATATTCAGGAAATGTAATCCATAGATACATCACGTATAAATAACATAAACTCGCTATTTCCTTAGAAGCCAAAGCTTAAGAAGGAAATTTATCATCATTCACTTTGAGAAAATATGCAAGATTTGAGCTTCCCAAGCCTAGCCAGGGAAGTATTACCTCTAATTAATTCATCTGTCACTAACCTTAAGGCATGGTAGAGTTCCATGTAGCTCTCTTACTTGGAGAAGGAGGAATTTTGGAAAAAGCCTAGAGAAGAGCAGAATGGCTTAGCCAGGGGAAAATATCAGTCAGGGGAGAAAGGGCGTACATTGTCAAGAACCCGGCAAAGATGTTTGAAGCCTGGAGTGCTCATTATGTACCCATCCTGCCCCTGGTTCTTCTCTCTTTTCAAGAACTGTTCTCTCTTTTGAATTTCCTCGTTAATGGTTTTGTGGATGACTCTGAATGTCTTAGTTGGAAACGGTAATGGTTTAAAAAACAACTACTGCTCACTGCCTCCTCCCTCCACCTGTGTGTGTGAGATGAATTTCCCGATGGTTGGTACCCGTTTTCTCAGTAGGCTTTCTTTCGGCTTTTGCTTGTGTGAAGGGTCCAAACCATTCCAATAATTCAGTGTTTCTAAGAGCCTACTTGTATGTCTTGGGCAGTCCCAACTGCCTCAGATTTACAAGAAGATCACAGAACTCAGCCCTGCTTAACCCACTAAACATTGGACCACCCAATTCCCACCCAAAAAAATATATAGAATTAAGGTACTTCTCACTCAGTTTATTTGTTACCTTTAACGTGGAGCCTGGTTGCAGTTTTTCTTAACTTGTTAAGGATTCCAGACTCGCCTCTGCTGCTTAGACAGGCCATTCTGATTGTTTTTTCGTATTGCTGGAGAACTTCAGGATTTGACCTTTTACAAAACCTGCTCCATCCTTCCATGGAATGCTTCCCTAATGGAAGGATGGACTGGTAGAGTGGGGGACTTGGATCTTTGAAGCATGGTTGCATTTGTTCTAGTGCAGCATTCACCTTGTTTGGACATCATTGTAAATGTAACAGGAAGAGATTCATCAGAGGAACATTTAAGAAGCCTTTTTCTTGGGTGAGTCTTGAAGGAAAGAAGCTAACATGAGAAAAATCAGACATTTCCCATGAATTAAATGCTAATGTTTTTTATCCTATTTTATTTTATTGCCTTATAAAGTTTAAGGGTCTTCCCTGGTTTTCTAGTCATTGTTCATTCAGCAACCATCTGAGTGGCTTGGAAGCCACTGTTTCCTTGACTGTGGAATTACACTCAGTGATGAGAAACTTTACCTTTCTGGAGGTGTTTCTTACAGTTGGAGTGAACAAGAGCAATCAGTGACTATAATTTCCCCAAAAGCTTTGGGTGTATTGAGTAAACCTATTTTTGTATATCTCCGTCTTTTACCTGCCTCCACCATCTTCGTGCCCTCCCCCTATATCTGTCTGAAGGAGGAGGTAAAAAAGTATGATTTGTTACGTAAAACCCTAGCCTGGGACCTGTGGCTCCCATTCTAACATCACATTTTCCGTCTTTCTCGTTTCTTCATGTTGTAACCTTGGGCACATCATTTTGTTTCTTTGTCCGAGCTTCAGGAATACTCTCTGTGAAACAGGGGCAAAGTAGCTGTCTCTCACCTACCTTACAGGGATGTTGTGAGGATTGATCTCACCAGAGCTACTGGAGAACTTTAAATGACACCATTATTTTGTCATCTGTCCAAGTCAGGAATTTGAATTGTAAGACATGAATGCAGTTGAAAGAATTGGTTAATGATAACCAGATGTCCCTCCAGCACCACAGGTGACAGGATTCAACAGCCTTTTTAAAGGCCTGGGAAACCTCATTAACCCAAGCAAGTGTTTTCTGAGAAGGGGTTTTACCTAAGCAGCAGCATTCTACCTGAGAGCATCCCCCAGGTGCTGGAATTTCCACCCCTTGTGCTCTCTGCATTACATTCTGATGCCACCCCTTTCTAAGAACAGCATCTGCAGTTAATAAACAGGTGGGAGGAGGGGTGGGGGAGGGGAACGCTGGCAGCTAACTTTCAATAAAAAGCCAAGTATTTGAGACTTCTCCTTCCCCTTTGGAAGAACTTTTAGTAAGACTAACGATTTTCCCAGTGACAGAGGAAATTACCTGACGATAACGATTCAGGGCTCTTGGCAGCTGTGAGCGATAAGTATGAAGCATTAGCCAGAAGGATTTTTTTCATCACCTGTTCGGTATCCCATGTATGGTTTGTGGCTACATTTATGCTCAGTTAAAGTGACCCATGACCTCTTTGCTTTCAGGAAGCGGACCTTATATGTTGATGGAATCCTGACTCCAGTGGGAGATGAGCTGAACTTGGCCGTGTCTTTTATTTTACCCTTTTTTAATCATGTATTCCCATGAGAAAATTCTTTGCCTTCAAAAAAAAAATAGAGCCCTGATAGAGGGATGTAATGGAATATAATGTACACTGCTGAAAGTTTGGCAGTCCCAGTTCATTCATGCCAGTAATCTCTTAATTTACTGGCCCTGTCAAATTTTGGAATCAAGCTGAGTGAGTGCTTGTCATTCATTCTGTCTGCACATCATGAAGACCTTAAAATGTTGTAATTTGTTACTGCCCAGACATAGCTCTTTCTCCTTTGTCATGCTAAATGGCTTTCATTCATGCACATTCCATGTTCACAGGTAATAATCACTCCTTGAAGGAGCAAAACTGTATATAGTGTTACAGAATTCAAGCAACCAAAGAAAATTGTTTTCAACTCCAGGCCAAAATCCCTACAGAAAGAAAAATAGGAGTTATATTTTTTCAGAATGAGGCCACTTGCTTTGGTTGAGTAAGGGTCATGGGTCATGTCTGCTTGTATGCTTCCTAGAAGATTGGAAATCTTTTCTTTCCCCTGTTGTACTCAGTTGTGTTTTCTGTAACAAGCCTTTCATGGAAGTCTCTACCTCAGGCACTAATTATTTATAGTTGTACTTAGCAAATGAATATTGAACCAAATTAGCTGGGATTTCCAACTTCCTAGGGCAATTCAAACAGAAAACCCAATTAAGTTAACCAGTGACCTAATGTTATTTAGTGCACAAAAATTGGAAAGTGCATGAATAGCCGGGCAACTAAACATTCCAGTACCAAAGATCACACATTTCTGGTTTTATTCTCTCTGTGGTTAATGTAAAGCTTTATGGCAGAGGCATACCCTGTGTCCAGGGATTCGTCTCCAGTAAGGATTTGTTTTTGAAAGAATGTTTTGTCAGTTCCAAATACAGTTTAGAAGATTCATTTGTGGTCTGTGCATCTTTTTCCAAAATTTGAAACCCATTAATAATCCAGCTGCCGGAAAATGTCGTGTTTCAGATTTTCCCCATTCTTTGTATAAAATAATGCCTCCAAGAACTTAATGGTTTTAGTCATAGTATTTGATACCAAATTCTCTTCTCCAACGTTCTGGGTAAGTTGATCTCAGTGGGAATGCTTGTGCAGAAAATCCCCTGAGGAAAAAAGTTGCCTGAGTATCCTGCTCTGCTGTCATCCATGCCCCTCTGAGGCAGCCCCTGTGGATGGCTGGGCTAATGTGCTTGGGGCATTAGGAGTTGGGAAGTGACCTTTGGTAGGAAGGAGTTTCATTGTAGAGGGGAGGGATCAGTAGGTCAGATTTTCCATATCTCTTATCTCTTTCCTCCCCTATACCTCCTCGGTGGTTTAATTCTAGAGAGTGCCTCAGGGAGGTTTGTGGATCAGCAGGTATAGTCAGCTACAGACTGTCCAGTTTGGAGTGGTGCAGTTCAGGATTGTCAGTGGTGTTCTGGACTCTTCCAAGAAGGAGATTAAAGGTTGAAGGGAAATGTTTTGGGGGGGGGGGGTGTCTGCTTTCCACATCTTTAAAGGCTGCATTGTCCTTGTTTTCCCACGAGCTACTAAACAGTTAACAGTGATAGAACAGGCACAGATCCCTTTCTGAGAAATCTGACTCAACCTAACCATATTTGGTTAAAAAATAATAATAAAAAGACAAAAAAAAAAACAGTGAGGGGGAGAATATCTTAGAAGCCTCTGGAGCACCTTGAGTTATTCTAATTCCATTAGCTTCCTATAGATTCCCAGGTTAATTTGCCGTAAGACCAGGCTTGTATAACACCAGAACAAGAGGGTAGCAGTCCAAGTTAGATGTGTGAATTCCTAAATGCTCTGTAGAATTAAAACCAGTTTTTTTCCAAAAGTTCCTGAGGAAATATGTTAAGTCTCAGACCTTCCATGGATATCTCATTAAGTGGTATTAGTTCACCCATTTTTTATTTTGGAATGTACAGAATTTAGGAAGGAACCTTTGGTATGAAGCTAAACCCTATAAAGCATGGGTTAGAGATTGAGCTGAGAACAGGAACCATTTTCCTGTCCTGGTTTCCAGATTCTTCCCCAGTTTGTATTCAAACCTTTTCCTTATTGTTGTTGTGTAGTCATGTTCAACTCTTCCGGACCCCATTTGGGGTTTTCTTGGCAAAGATGCTGGAGTGGTTTGCCATTTCCTTCTCTAGCCCATTTTACAGATGAGTAACTGAGGCAAACAGGGTGAAGTGACTTGACCAGGGTCACACAGCTAGTAGAGTGTCTGAGGCCAGATTTGAACTCATGGAGAAAAGTCTTCCTGACTCCAAGCCCAGTGCTCTATCCACTGCACCACCTAGCTGCCCAAACCTTAGCTCAAATCAAAAAATAGTCGTCATCAGAAAGTAGGATTTTGATCTTAAATTTGAGATCCAGGTAAAAGAAACATAATAGAGCCTTGAGATGCATACCCTGAAGAGAAAGCATTTTTGATAGCATTATCTTTAACCCAGAGTGGCCTGAACTTGAAGCTGTTTCCTGTCTTCCCTTGCTTTCTTAATGGTCCCTGTCTGGCTCTCTGGTTTCTGCGTACAGTCAAAATAGAAAGAAACATCCCACCCCAGGTATGAATTAAGCCATTTTTTGCAGTTGGACTCTGTAGGACACATTCCACCACCCCCTCTCACACAGTGAGGTCTTTGTGGAAACTGAAGAAAGGGAAGTCCCTTAGACTCACTACATTGCCAGAGGTAAAACCATGAAGGCTTTTGATTCAAGCTGCAGCCCCTATCCTAAAGCAGTGGAATAGGCCCAATCAGAGTTTATTTTATCCACTCTTGTCATTTTGTGCCTACCCTCCAAATACTGTCATCAGAACTCTAAGAGGAGGGGGGTGCAGAAAAGAGATCCCCACAGGGGAAAGCTGACCCAAGAAGGCAGCCCTCTGCTTCCGTTCAAGCTTAGCTGAACCCCCAGAAGTGCACTTGCCTGGCTCTGTCTCCTGGGGCCATTGCAAAGGGCTGAGGAGGCTGACAGTCTTCAACTCCGAGCAAGGCGGAAAACCAGGCAACTGTCCATAACTGATTTGAAAGCACATCCAGTGACCCAGTTGGGGCCTGACCCCAGGGAAAAGTACAGATTTAGATGTGGAAATTTTTTTTTATACTGGAAATTTATCTTTGTACTAAGAACATCGAGAAATTAAAAGGGCCGCTTTGACCTGACCCATCTTTCCACTCCAGAGTCTGATGTTAGATCCTGTGTCCAGGTGCTGGAAATAGCAGTGACCAAGGCCTTGTATCCCTGACAGTGTCTAGCAGACATTGCTTTTGTACACATGGGTACTGAGGACTTTGGAAGGTGAAAGCCCCAGAAGGCAGGTGAGTGCAGATTGGGAGCTGGACTGGTTGGTTTATTCTTCTCGGTTGGGATTTTTTTTAAACCAACCTTGATTCTGGAACCCAGAGCAAGAACCTGAAGAGCGTGGGGGGGAATGAGAAGTATGAAATCTGATGTCATTCTAATCTTTTATTTCATCTACTACCCTTTCTTGGAGGAGGTAGGCATTTACTTAGGTAAGAATTGGAGAACTGAAATTTTATTTGGCTGCTTAGTTGAGACTCCTAGATAAACATCATTCTTCTAGAGCTGGAAAAAACCATCCAGTGACTTTTTCCACAGCTGAGGAAACAGGCCCAGAAATGGGAAACATCAGAACACAGAATTGAACCCAGGTCCTAAGCTAAACTACTCCACCAACTTATAATGAAAAGTTGTATTAGAATGCTGAACCATTAATTACAAGAGTCGTTGACTCTTTAACCTGTCAACCTGAAGGAGTGGGGTGAGAGGTTGTGGCATGGAAAGTTTTTTGTGAAGAGTTAGGCTGAGAATCAGAAAAGCTCATGTTTTGACTTTCAGTGCAAGTTTCTAGTCCTGTGATGCAAGGATAGAAGACCTTATTAAGCAAGCAGGGCTTTCCCCTGCCCCAACAAAGTTGTGGAAATACTGCCTTGCTCCAGAAGAAGTATCCAGGAGCTCAGTGCTCCTATTCAGGCATGGCTTCAGGTTCTAGTAAAAGCAAGAGGATAGGACACACTCAGATAAGTCCTTTCAAGATGGTGATCCTCCTGCTTACCAATATCACCCACTTCTTGCATAAAGATTATGGTAAGGAACGTGCTACTGGATAGGAGATAACTACTGTGAGACACAAGAGTCTGAGTGGCTCACAAGGGGGCTTCTGTAAGCCTACAGGAAGGTATTCTGTCACCATACAAATTATTCAGCAAGGGAATATACAGTGTGTGAATTGCTCAACAGCCATCATTCTCCTTAAGCCTGTTACCCCAATAACCATCTCATTTCTTCTCTGGTCCCCTCTTAAATGCTACTGTATACCCACTTGGCCCACTAGAAGGTAATCACCCTGCAGGTACCTGGACTGTTCTCCCTGATCACCAAGCCCACTTTTTCTGTGACTGTACGAGTGCTTTAATTCAACATGCCCCTTTTTCCTCCCAACCCCTGTCCCAAGTAGGTATTCATCACTCTACCTTTGCAGCATTGTATAGGTCCTGTCATTTTGATGCCAAGTATACTCCATGCTGCCTGGAAGTGCTTTTAAACCCCTTCTTCTCCCAGATTTTAGTTTCCTTAAAA